ATGTCCCAACATACATCACATCTTGGGAGTGCATTCCACAGAGCCGTGACACTTTGAGAAGTAATTTTTCTTCAACACTGGTTTAAATTTGCTACCCATTATCCTAAAATTATGTCCCCTCATACTAGATTGGCCCACATGAGGAAGCATCCTTTTCCTCATTGACTTTGTCAATCACTTTTAGCATCTTATATACCTTAAATAGTTCTTCTCTCATTTCTTCTAAACATCAGAGATTATAGGCTGAAACTGCTCAATCCCTCTTCAGAGGACAAACCTCTTGTCTCTGGAATCAATTTAGTGAACCTCCTTGAAGCCTTCAATATAGTTACATCCCTCCTCAAGCAAAAGAATCAGAATGGGACGCAATACTCCAGATGCAGTCTCACTAATGCTTTGTACAGTTGCAGCAACACCTTCCCACTTTTATAATCCATTTCTTTAGCAATGGAAGCCAAAATTCCATTTGCCTTCCTTATTACCTGCTGTAACTGCAGGTTATATACTATAATTATTATAATTTATGCTCGAAAATACCCAGTTCCATTGTGCACCAAAACACTCTGAAGTTTCTTTCCATTTAGGTAATAAGTTCCTTTTCTATCCCTCCAACAAAAGTTGATAACCTCATACTTATCCACATTAAAATTCATCTGCCAAATTTTGGCCCGTTCGCCTAACCTAACCATTTGTAAATTTCTTACTTGTTTGTAACTTATTTCCCCACCTTCTTGGTGTCATTTGCAAATTTGGCTGTAATACTCTCTATTCCTCATCCAAGTCATTAATGTAGATTGTAAACAGTTGTGGCCCAAAGACTGAACCCTGCTGGCACCTGATTAGTTACATCTTGCCAACCAGAAAAAGACCCATTTATCCTAACCCACTGCCTGTTGTTTAGCCCATTCTCTACTCAAAATTAATAAATTACCTCTAACCTCATGTGATCTTACCTTATGTCGTAGCCATTTGTGTGGTACGTTATCAAAAGCCTTTTGAAAGTCTAGATATACTATATCCACAGAGTCCCTATTATCCATATTGCTTGTTACATCTTCAAAGAACTTTAGTAGATTATTCAAACACGATTTATCCTTCATAAAATGATGCTTGTATTAATGGATTGTATTTTGAATTTCCAAATGTCCTGTTATTATTTCCTTAATAAACGAAATTGTAATAGTTTTCCAACAACACTTTTTTTTTTTCTTTATTCTTAAACAAAATGAGGACATCACTGGCTAGGCAGCATTTATTGCCCATCGGCAGTTCAGAGTCAACCACATTGCTGTGGGTCTGGAGTCACATGTAGGCCAGACCGGGTAAAGATGGTAGGTTCTTTCCCTAAAGGACATTAGTGAACCAGATGGGTTTTTCCAACAATTGGCAATGGATTCATGATCATCATTAGATTCTTAATTCCAGATATTTTAGTGAATTCAAATTCCACCATCTGTCTTGGCGGGATTTGAACCGGGTCCCCAGAACGTTATCTGGGTCTCTGGATTAACAGTCCAGCGATAATACCACTAGGCCATCGCCTCCTCCTAAAAGATTAAACTAACTGGTCTGTAGTTTCCTACTTAGAGCCTTCCTCCCTTTTTGAATAAAGGGTACTACTTTAGCACTTTTCCAATCCAGTGGAACTTTTCCCACATCTATGAGATTTTTGAATATTGTAACCAATGGATCTACTATTCTCTGCTGCCACTTTCTTTAATCTCTAGATGTGGGCCATTGGGCCCTGGGAACATGTCTGCTCTCACTTTTAAGTAGGCATTTAATTCTTACTTCCTACATATATAATCACTGAGTAAATAATATTATTTTTGTAGTCTGACATTGGTATCACCACTTCTTTCTTTTATCCTTAACTTGATGATGTTGTATTGCCTCAAACCCTCAATCTACTTTTCTGGTTTAAATTCCTTCTGCAGTCCTATTTACCTTTTCTGCCAGGACTTGGACTCAGTCTCAATCTGGTTCAGGTGCAGCACTTTCTAGCTACATCAGTCATTCTAGTTCCAAACACAGTATTTCCTCTTCTTAGCTCTTATTTTTGCTTATTCAGTTTTCTTCTATCCTGGTGTGTTATCCATAATCTCTTGTTTACCTACCCCTTTCATATCTTTCTGTGGGCTCCATCTCCACTTGTTCACTCACTTCCCCACTCACAACTTTGGCTTCAGCATAAAGACTCCCAGCAGTTGACAGTTCTGATGAAGAGTCATCAGACTTGAAACATTAACTTCGCTCTCTTTGCACAAATGCTGCAAAACCTGCTGAGTTTCACCAGCAATTTCTGTTTTTGCTTCTAGTTCCAGTACTGGTGCCAATGTCTATCAATCACAGACAGTAGAAGTAACATATTTGAGATGTTTACAAGTCTCTTCAATCAAAAACGTTGTCTAGAGAATCATTTGTGGTATCTTTGATGGTAGAGACCTATGCCACACCATTTTCACATGACATTAATATGTGGCTGAGCACACTGGATAGAGCAGAAGCTCAAGAAACCAGAATTAGAAGTGCACAGCTTATCTGGGGAAGATTACAAAAATAAGTAGAGGAGACATTGTCCACCTTGTTTTCAAGTCCTTGCACAGTGTGCAGCCTAACCAGGAGCCACTATATGTCAATGAGCACAAGACTGATAGGCGAATGAGAGTTGGTGAAAAGGCAATAAATAATTTTTCTTGCCTCTGTTTACAGAGAACGATGAAAAAAACGAGTACTGCCATTCTATAAAAAAGCATGCATTGTAAGTTTCATAGACTTTAAGCTCATGATCCAGCCAAGGAGAAGCCTAAGCTTAAGTTTTATCATGATGCCAGAAGGAGTGGATGTAAGTGGCTGTTTGAAAATTAAAGAATCTGAGTCACCGAGTCACCGGATCTCCTAATCTACCTTTTCCTTTATGTTTGAGTCTCTGATCTGTAAAATAGTGTGCATGTGAGTGGCCCAAGGGGGCTGGGGAAACCCAATTTTCAGTGCACAGGTGCAGAAAGTTTATAATGAGGCCCCACATTATTAATGGGGAAATATGGCCAAGTATGGGTTCAATATTTTCGGGTTAGAGAATAAATTTATCAACAGGAGTGGATATTAAAATAAACTGTAAATTAACTTATTATAGATGAAGGAAATAGGAGGTAAATGCTCACATACTTATTGAATGCAGAAAAAAAGCCAGTGAATCAATCATTATTGTGCGAGTTCACCAAAGCTCACCGACCATTTTAAGAAGCAACAGTATATTTCTGATGTATCAATCAATTACAGCAGTTCACTTTAACTGATACTGGCATTATCTACATATTGCAGCAAACTCTTTCACTTGTACATGTTTCCTGCTTGTACTTGAGAAAATAGCATTATTGCACCATTCTATCAGGATCTAGCATATAGATTGACAAAAGTAAAACCCCTGAATCTATCAGAATCATTTGTCACAGCAATTATGGAAGAGCAGAAAAGTGGAGAGCAATTGGCTGTGTTTTCAGTTTAGACACAGATTCTCAACGTTTAAGATATTGTCTAGTGTTTTGCATCAAATCGATTTCTAAAATAAAGCTGCATTAAGTATTCCCTTGAATGCCTTACTTCAATTCAAATAGGAATGCAGATTCAGTTCACTTGAATATTATGAGAACTGTGTGTCAAGATAAGGGATTAAATGTCCTGGTAGTTATTAGAGAAATGCTCAACTAACAATGACTAAGTAATAATAAAAACAGAAACTGCCTTGCCTACCCACCCAAACACAAGCACTGTGATATTACAGATTGTATGTGTTATATAATTCATAGAAAGATGAACAGGAGCATAAATATGATTAACACATCTCTTCACTGCTGATTACTAATCTCAAAAAAAAGACTAAAATCCCTTCAGTTCTGAGGAAGGGTCACTGGACCCAAAATGTTAACTCTGATTTCTCTCCACAGATGCTGCCAGACCTGCTGAGCTTTCTCAGCAATTTGTTTTTGTTAATAAAATTCCTATGTCCACTGTACACTGTCAAAAGGTAATGATTTTCTATCAGCTACTTATTCGCCATGTAAATTTAAATTTCCCAAAAGGCAGGTATATAAGACTTTGCGTGGCTCATCTTGATTGTAAGCTGCATTATAATACTAAGCACAATTCTTCAGATTTGTACTAGCATCATGGGACAAATTTTATGCATCAGTGGCAAGTTTTGAACAATATGACACCAATTTTCCATTACACACTTGCTGCAGTATGGTAAATCACTGAAGGCATAGTCTCAAAGTTTAACCCCAAAACGTAATGCTTAATTATCTTAGTGTTTTAAAAAGCTGTATTCTTAAAGTTTAGGATTAAGTTGATAAAGATAAATTAGTGATTTAGTGATCTAATTCTATTTCAATATTAATGGAAGTGTTTAGACGCATAGAAAATAGAAGGAGTTAGACATCAACCGCTCATGCCTGCTCCGTCATTCAATTTGATCATGGCTGATCATCAAGTTCAATATCCTAATCATACTTTCAGCCCTATTCCTTGATCCCTTTAGCCACAAAAGCTCCTTCTTGTAACACAATGTTTTGGTCTTAATCACTTTCGATGATAGTGAATTCCACAGGCTCACTACTCTCTAGGTGAAAAAAAATTCTCATCTCAGTCCTAAAAGGTTTACTCCTTGTCCTTAAACTATCACTCCTGCTTCTGGATTCCTCTGCCATTTGGAACATCCTTCCGGCATCTAATCTGTCTAGCACTGTTCAGTTTTAATAGGTTTCAAAGAATAACCCCCTCATTTAGTGACTACAATCCTAACCAAGTCAATCTCTCCTCATACATCAGTCCTGTTATCCTGGGAATCAATTGGTATACCTGATTAGCTGCAAGAATTTAGGAATATGCATATGAAAATTATTGTTCTAGTTAAAAATTTATATTCAGGTCCCTTATTTTGTCATTCAGGCTATTGATTAAAATACAAGATATGCTATATAATAATAAAACACACATACCTTTAAATCATCTATGATTTTCTTTCCAAGTTTTTCTTGCACATGCTGATTATCAGATGTCACCTGGTAACCAGAACACTTTTGGTCAGCCTTTGGTAATGTACCTCTAGCTGTTGGGGACATGGCTTTGTCTTCTTCAGCTGCACAGGGATGAACTGGTAAGAATTCATATTGAATTTTATCAGTTTCAGCATTGGCATTCTGTGTAAGCCAGACGGCAGACAGTACATCAAAACTGTTGGTCAGCATAGTAGAGTCATTTGCTGTCCTCACTACACTGGCAGCCAGAGAAAGCGAGGCATCCGTCAGTGTACCAAGCTGGTCATTTCCCTGTAGGTCAGGCTGAGGGCTAGCTGTTACTGAAGGAGTAGCTGATAATCCTGTTTCCCCTTGACTGTCCTCATCATCATCATCAATTTCATAATCTTCGTCATCCTGGCCATCTGAGTCTTCAGCGTCAGAGTACAGAGTTTCATGTCCACCCTTTAGTTTGTCACCTGTTAAACAAATTAAACTATAAATTAGTGGATTAAATTTGACTGGCTTCTGTGGTGTAATAATTCTGTCATAACAAATAACCCTCATTAAGTGAAAATCTGCTTCTGTAAATTAGTTGTGAAGTGTTTTGGAAGTTTTATCTGTTCTAACACAGAACGGAACTAAGGGTGAGACAACAAATCTTTCGATTTACCAAGTGGGCTAATTTCAACGAATCTGCCTAGTCACAATTTCTGCCTTGCATTGGGATATTGTTGCCTGTAATGTGGTGCTGTATATCTCTGTATATGCAAACACTCATTTGGCCAGGGTTCTCTATTTTTATTCATTCTGGGAACATGGACATCACTGGCTGGGCCAGCACTTATTATCATAATTGCCCTTGGAGAAGGTGGGAGTGAATTGCCTTCTTGAACCATTGCAGTCCATTTGATTTGGGTAGACCAACACTGTCATTAGGAAGGGATTTCCAGGATCTTGAGTCAGCAACTCTGAAGGAGCAGTGATATATTTCCAAGTCGAAATGTTGAGTGGCTTGAAGGGGAACATGCAGGTGGTGGTGTTCCCCAGTTACTCTTGTCCTTCTTGACGGTAGTGGTCATGGGTTTAGAAGGTCCTGTAGAAGGGGCCTTGGTGAATTTCTGTGAATCATCTGCAAGATGCACTGCAATGCTAAAACTGAATTGGTGATAGAGAGCGCGTCTCTTTGTGGATATAATGCCAATTAAATGGGCTGCTTTGTCCTCAACGTTGTCACGCTTCTTGAGTGTTGTTGGAGTTACACCCATGCAGACAAGTGGGGAGTATTCCAGCACACTCCTGATGTGTGGCTTGTAGGTTGTGAACAGGCTTCGGGGAGTCAGGAGTTGAGTTACTCACTGCAGGATTCTAAGCCTCTGTCTTGCTCTTGTAGACGTATCACTTATCTGGATAGTCCAGTTCAGTTTCTGGTCAATGGTCAATGTTGATAATGGGGGAATTTCAGTGATGATAATGCCATTGAATGTCAAGGGATGATGATTAGATTCTCTGACCGGAGATGGTTATTGCTTGGCAGTTATGTAGCACAAATATTACTTGCCAGTTGTTGGCCCCAATCTGGATGTTGCCCAAATTTTACTGCATTTTCCATCAAAACACATTTTACAATCAGCCTACCTTCTGTAAAAACATAACTTGCAGGTTTGGGCAATAGTTTCATTGGTTGTCGTATATCTTGTAATTGGTACTCAAAGGAGCTAACACTTGGCAAAAAAACCCCAAAGAACTTCAGATGCTGGAAATCAGAAACAAACACCGAAATTGTTGGAAAACTCAACAGGTCAGGCAACATTTGTGGAGGGAAAGCAAAGTTAATGTTTTGGGTCCAGTAACCCCTACCTGACCTGCTGAATTTTCCTAGCCATTTCTGTTTTGGTTGTGGAAGGAGCTACGCTTCCTAACCAATTGTTTGATTACACTCATAGTTAATACTACAGCTACATGTATAAACATTTAGGATAAAAAATAAATCTGTTTGACTCTCCACAGATGCTGCCAGACTGCTGGGTATCTCCAGCATTTTGTCTTTATTTCAGATTTCTAATGTGTATAACATTTTGCTTTCTTTTCTAAATAATGGGCCAGATTTTCTGAGGAGTGGCAATCTCAGATGGGGTTAATTAAATCTCAGATTTCCACCTGGCCCTATTTTACAGATCTGACAGGAGATTCCAATCAGGGATCCTTCATAATTCTGGAGTCTTACATCCATTCTGATAGTTCCTTCGTAGCATGGAATAATCTGTGGAAGGCAAACTATATCCCTTTTTCCACAGTACTCAGTTGCTACATTATGTAATTTAAAGCTTGAACATCACAGCCACTTTGACAATTGTTGTCAAAGGGTAATTGTGTAAAATTAAGTGTGAGGTCAGGGTGTCAGGATGGAACGGTGTCAGGTGTGTAGGGTTTCAGGGGACAAGTTGGCAAGCTTAGTGATGGAGTATTTAGGAAAGTTGAGTGAATAGAGATATTGGGTGTGAATGCGACAGCTGGATAGAGGGGTTGGGTCCTGAACGTAGGGAATGGAATTGAGTGACAAGTGTTGTCGGGACTGTTACTGGGTCCAGTTGTGGGGGGGAGGGGGTGGATTTGTGTGTGTGCATGGTGGTGGTGGTGTCTGTGTTTCCCATAGGTGGTGTGAAATCTTGGAGTCGGTGAACGGAAAGGTATTGGATCCTCAGAGAGGAGGGGTTGGTGTTGAGTTATTGTCTTTGTGGCAGATCAGGAGGAGGTGCAGTTGATGACAAAATTTAGATTGGTTCTTCAGTCTAACAGTTACTCAGGGGTTGGACTAGGTATTTAAGTTTAGCATTTCCTGAATAACCTTAACTTAAGCTTAACCGTCCAAATTCTCAGACTTAAATGGATACCTTTGGAGTGTTCCAGATTTAGGGGAAATTTCCAGCCCATTTCAAAGTCCTGGGAAATTCCCTTAGAGTTGGCTACAATGGGGATTCCTCAGTCTTATATCTTATGTTTTAGAAATGATTTCAGGCCATGGTAAAATCGGGTCCAAATAACAGTAAAGGTATCTGAACGATCTGGCCACTAGGTGGTGCTGTCGAATAAACGTTTGAAGTGAATCCGTACCAGAAATTCGTTCTGATTTTTGGATTTTGGACATTCATAGTCTCCTATTCTTGATTCTGAACAAGTATGTAAAATTCCTGCACCCACCTCACTTTCACGAATGCAGCATGGCCCTGAATGGCAAGACTGAAGTGGTCTCTGTAATGCTACTGTGGCCTTTGCTCATTTCTTAAACCCTGCTGGGTAATCACATTGAAGCACAAGGAGGGACCAGGGAAAGGCTCTCTGCTCCAGTGATACCACTCTAGGAGCATGGGTAAACAGATGGAATCTAGAAGGAGGGCATATTTCTGCCAGAGGACAAAAACATGCATGAATGAAGTTGAGAAGGGAATGATAGCCGATTGTAAAAGGTAGATTAATGTGACCATGACATGCCAAGAAGTGTTGAACATAAATGAATGATCTCACAAGTGGTTTAGGCCAAGTGCATATGTCTGAACATCAGATCTCACATCTAACATGTCATCACCACTTTAATCCCATACTTAATACAGTACACCCATAATCACACACTCAGGACTCACTTGTAAAAAAAAAATATACTCCACACTTTGTTACACCAAACTCTCATATTTTTACACACCTTTGCAGACCCTCGGCTATTCAGCAATAGCAAGTACATCACCCAACTACATTAGAACACTGATATTTTGCCCTCTCTCTTTCAGGAAAAGGTGATAACCACCAGATGAGAATCCAACAAGACTAGCTGTGAAGTCCACTTCTTCCCTCAGCACCTTTGAAACAATTCATAGAATCATTATGACATACCCCACAAAGCTAGTGGCAACTGCTTCTGAAACTATGGATGATGATGGTAAGCTATTGCTTTGTGTAATTTCTCTGTTTACCCTTTCATCTCATCCTGAAAAGAGCCCTGATTTGTAAATTCAGATGGAATGACTAGAGGGCTACTACTTTCCTCCTAATCGCAACTTCCGTGCCCTAATCTTTTCATTTTTTTTCTTGGTTGCTTTGAGATAGTTAAGAACAGCCAGCTACCACAACTTCAGGAAGCACAAAAGCACATCAGAAGTCCATCCCTGGTTGTGCACATGTTATAGAATAGTATAAAGTTGCAATTGGTAGACGGTGAGTAACCAGCTATAGTCAGGTCCAGGGGTTAGGTCAAATCATATACAAACTCCTCAGAGGTTGAAACGGTTAAGGCAGAGTGTAGAAATGGCAAGCTGTTGAACACACATTGAAATGCTTGATTCATTGGCAGATGTGAAGGTAATCTGCACTCATTGGCTGGATTCAAAACTGGGTCCCTCGTGCTATGGGGCAGCAGTACTAACCAGTGAGCCACCGTGTAGCCCCAATTACAGACAAGTTAGTCTTACGTCAGTGGTAGGGAAATTATTGGGAAAATTCAGAAGGACAGGATTAATCAATACTTGGAAAAAGACAGGATTGATCAGGGATGCCCAGCATAGATCTGTTCGAGGGAGATCCCACCTGACTAAATTATTTGAGTTTTTGAAGAGGTGACAAAATATATTGATGAGGGTTATGCAGTTGATGTGATTTAGTGATAAACTTCAGTAATCAGTAGGATGTGATTGCACTGGAGAGGGTGCAGAGGAGATTCACCAGAATGTTGCCGGGATGTAAAGTCTCAGCTACCAGGAGAGACTAGATAGGGCGAGTGGTGGGGGAGTGGATCTCATTGAGGTATTGGGATGGCACGGTGGGTCAGTGGTTAGCACTGCTGCCTCACAGCACCAGGGACCCAGGTTCAATTCCACCCTCGGGCAACTGTCTGTGTGGAGTTTGCACATTCTCCCTGTGTCAGCTTGGGTTTCCTCCAGGTGCTCCAGTTTCCTCCCGCAGTCCGAAGATATGCAGGCTAGGTAGATTGGCCATGCTAAATTGCCCGCAGTGTTCAGGGGTATGTTGATTAGATAGCTTATAGGCGGATGGGTCTAGGTGGGATGCTGTGAGGGTCAGTGTGGACTTGTTGGGCTAAAGGGCCTGTTTCCACGCTGTAGGGATTCTATGATAAAATGATGTGAGGCATGGAGTAGATTGTGAGAATCTCTTCCTCATGGCAGATGTGTCTAAAACTATAGGCCACAATTTTGAGGTGAGCAGTAAGTGACTGAGAGGAGATCTGAGAAAAATTTCTTTCACCCAGAAAGTGGTAGATATATCATATGTGCTGCCTAAGCGGGTGGTGCAGGCAGGTATTCTTGCAACATTTAAAGATGCATCTGGATGACTGCTTAAAATGCCAGGCCATAGTAAGCTATGGAGGAAGTGCAGGTAAATAGAATTAGTGCAGTTTGGAGCTTATTAGCATAGATACAGTGAGCCAAAGGACCTGTTTCAATGGTTTTTGACTTTAAGATTCAATATA